CAATCAGTGTAAGACAGAATGGTGTTGTGAGTGTCTTTTCATCAGCTAGTATATCTCCGTTATTTCTGTTTAAGCCCTTAAGCCGGAGCTTGATTGACAATAAGCACCAGGCTTCAATTTGAAAGAGCAACTAATAAATAGTGGGCTGAAGCCCTAACCATAAACCTTCATAAATTTCACTAAACTTCCTGGTATTCAATAATCTAATTTCCTCCACTGTCTTTTATGAAAGGGACACACCCCTTCCACCTTGCCCCCCCCAACCCCCCCCTCCCCCCCGCCCCCCCAAAAAAACAAAAAAAACCCAAGAAAACAAACAAACAAACAAATAAAACAACCCCAAAACACCCACTAAAAATAGTCTTAAACAGAGAGTGCATATAACTATTTTATAACCCTGACCTTTGGTGCAGCTTTCCTGGAGACCCTTAGTTGCTCCCTGTCATCTACAAGACCAACTTGCTGTCTGGGATTGTCAGGCTATGCTAGATAGCAAGGCTAGGTTTCAACTGATGATGATCCTGTGGCACATCCACCTCAGCATGCTACAAATCGTTCCTTTCTCTGTCTGGCACTTCACTAACCACTGCAGTTTTGGTGTTCAGCTCTTAGCCAGAAAGCAGAGAGTTTGAGCTTTGAGTCCTTCTGCTTAATAGCTAAAAGATGTTTAAATGAATCTCCTGTTTTCATCCTTTCTTTCATTGATAACATCTGCATCCCAGTGCTGGAAGCTACTGGTTGAGATGAAGGATTGAAATCATTCCCCCAGCGACATATATGTAGTGGGTTGACTAGGCTTCTTTCTGCCACTTTATGAAATGCTTCCTTATCTCCAGAAATACCTTTTTAGCAGGAGAAAATAAATAGACGTTTCAGGCTTGCCCCCAGGCCCTTTCATTTGTCTTATTTTGACCATGTATCAACAGAATGATTCTCTATTTTGGCCTCCTCTTCAGTGCAGAATGGCTTTCATGGTGCTGGCAGCACTGAAGTGTATGGCTGCTTTTGCTGGTAGACCTTTGCCACCAAGCGTATAAATTACCTAATTTTGCTTAAGTTTAGGGTTGCTTTTTCTTTTCTTCCCTCCCTACCCCCCCTTTTTTCTTTTTCCCTCTCCTTCTGAGTGCTTCTGTTAGATACCATTATTGTCTCCAGTAGTCAGGATAAACAGTGATCTCTCACATATTTTTATTTAAGACATCCCAGGGTAATAATCACAGGCAGGTATCAGTGTTTGAAGAATGTTTTCAGAGTTCGTTTTTGACCACCATATCTTTTGAATTGATTTATGTTTAGTTAGGGAGAGCTTCTACTGATTCTGCATATAACTGAGTAATTGAAATGCCACAGTATTCTTCCCTAATTGCTTTTGCTATTAGTTCATCAGACATGGTCAACAGATTATATATCATTATTTCTGTTAAATGATCATAAAATGTTTACTTTTCAGTTTAAAGGTCAAGGAAGAAAAACTGTTAGCTAAGGACTTGTCAAGTTGCACACCTCAGTTGCATTTCAAGCTTCTAGTCTGTTATTCATTTTTCTTCCTACTCATTGAAGAATTTCTGGATATGTTCATTTTTGTAGCCTAATCAGATTTCTGTCATGAATAAAAGATGCTTTCCAAAACATCAGAGTAGGCAATGGATTTATGAAGTGGCAAAAAAAATCATAAAACATACATCTTTTTTGTAAGGGAATGGATGGCTCAGGCTGATATTGGAGAAACACCATAGTTGGAAAAGTGGGAAAGAAATCACCACTTCTTCCATGTTTTAAATTTATGGCAAAGTTACTTAATTAGAAATGTTGTTTCTCCAGACAGTTGTTGATTATATGCTGGCAGAGTATTGTTTGGTTTTGTTTTGTTTATGTCAGTCTATAATCCACAGCTCAGGTAGAAGATTTAGCTTATTCTAAAACTGGGGAAAGAGCAGTATCATCTCCTGACTTATATATATTTTTTTTTTTACAGGCCACAGTGTTTCCACAGGCCATACTACTTAAATGCTCCAAGGATAGTATATGGTTTCCTGTAAATCTGCAAACTGAACTGAGGTCATTTTGCACCTGAACTTTTCCAGGCATGTCAGCAGATTGCTGTAGTTTCCTTAAGACAAAAGGAAAAGGAGAGCAGCTGAAAATAATTAATATTGAACTTGACACATCAAAAATGTAATTTGTCACTTGTGATTAAAGCCTTTATCTTTAGTTCTATTTTTATATTCACCATGGGTCTCCCTTAGCTATCATTAGGCTCCACATGGTTGGAGTTAGTCTGACCTTTGATCCATCACCATAGACAAAGGGATCTGTTACTGCTAAATTGGAGCCCAAGCTAGTCAGCAACAGTGTAGATCAATGAATGTAAGCTTGGTTAATAATAACAATGATCAGCTACTCTGATTAATTTTTAAGTCTATGTGGCTAATGTAGATGCTGGTCTGCAAAAGAAAGATTAGATTCATAACAAAATTTAACATTAGGAACTCACATTGTGGTAATTTGATCTGATGTGAAAAGTAAAGATGGTGAAAGTGATATATATTTTCAGTATACTCATATACTATTTAGCTGAGAAAATAGAGTGATAGTTTTACAAACTTTCTGTTGTTTTTCCCTTTCTCTGAAGACTTCCAGAAGTTTGCTGACTGCCACAGATATTGTGGTTGCTTCTTTTCTAAACACGAGGAACTGAACTGTTTGACACATCACTGTCCTACCACCACATTACCCTCTTGCTTATCATTGTAAACCCATTATGTCATACTGTATACAAACTGAAGCAATGCATAAAATATGATAAATGAATGTTTTCATTATCAGCTATGTCTTTTTTTCAGTGCAGGCATGTGTAGCTGAAAGCCAGCAATATTTTAATGGGTGACCGTAAGTGGTGTCTTTTCAGAAACAGATCATTATTTAACTCACTGTTTAGTCACACAGAAAGGCTCAAGCTGCAGTAGTAAGTCGCACTGCCAGTTGTTTAAACTAATTTCAGTATCCCAGTTAAAGCCAGACTGTGTGTTCTGTGGTGCAGTTTATTGTAGATGTGATGTGAAACTCTATTTCCTGACCCTGTGTGCTTACTGAATATGTCCTGTTGCTTTCCACAATAATAAAATCCTAAGCCAAGCCCTAGCTAGGTCTCTGTTAAGTAAAGTTCCCTTGTGAATAGAGTGAAGACTATTAGATTTGTAGTCCTATTATTAAGTATTTTTGTGGTAACAACTTCATTATTCTAAGGTCATTAACACACTTCCTCTTCTACTGCAAGTGATTGTGGGTTAAAGTCATTATTTTAGGCATCTACATTTTGTTTATCAACATCTAATCATAAATAGATTGCAGTTTCTGGAAGCTGGAACAATAGCTAGCAGAGAGTTATTATCCAGAAGACCAGTTTCCCCCCCTTACACTGCCTTCAGCAAACACCTCCACGCATGAAGCACTGTTTAGCATGGAAGTGCTGATGACTAAACCTTTGAATATGAGCATTTAAAGACTGAAAGTACTGAAGCACCATTGTGTTTACTTGATGTGTGTAAACACAGGTGGTATTTTTTCAGCAGTTTCCCCAGCGTTGAGCCACATAGCTTGCCCTTTGATATAAGGTGCATCTCCCACTGAGACATCAGCAAGGATGGAAGGACATTAGGCTATGTCAACCTGTCCTTTTGCTCCAACAGTTAAGAAATAATTTACTGTTGTTTTAGGTTAATTTTGGTAGTTTGTAAATAGGTTTCATTGTCAAATTTACCTCATTGATGCAAATCTCCAATTCTTCTTGTTTAGGAGACATACGGCACTGATACATGAAAAAGTGAAAAGTATTTCTTCTCTGTGACCTTTAGATTTTTTGTTTGTTTTATGCCTTCTTGATTCTCTACTTGTGTGGCAGCACCTTCTCCCTTTAGTTATGTTTTAGTTTCTTTGGGAACATTGCTCTGAGCAAATCAGTGCATAAATCAGTAATTCCACCACCATTTCTCATATCAAGCCAAATAACTTGGAATGACTTGGTAAGGTCTAGTTTAATCTTCAGACATCCCAAAGAAGACCAGTGAGAATTTAGAGTGAGGGCAAGGAATGCAGGTTTCTGACACATCATAATACTGTGACAGCATTTTAAACTACTATTAGTAATTCTGGTCAAAATCCTATAGAATTTTTGTCATTTACTTCAATAGGCCAGGATTTTTCTGACTTTTTTTTCTTTTGTGTAGTCTTTTCCTTTTTTTTTTTTTTTTTTTTTTTTAAGGTATGGTAGAGCTCGCTTTCATAGCTTGGTCCCACATCCCTCACAATACGATAGGATTTCTTCAGTAATGGTCCTGTACTTTCTTACTTGCAGAAATGCTGTTGGAGTGTTTTAGTCATTTCTGGATAATACCATGCCATATAATAGTAATGGAAAAATATTACCACATGAGAAAATTTATCCTTCTGTGATGAAAATGCTGTCCATCTGGAAGGAAAATGAGCTTAAGATTTCAATATCAGACCCTAATCCCATCCTAATTCTTTCCCATGCTGCTGGTGTCCTGGTTTTTGGTTTGTGGTTTTTATATTTTTTTCATGAAAAATCAGTAGTGTTAAGAGTTATGTGGCAAAATGTAATTGCTCACCATTGAGTTAAGTTTTATTAACGAGACTTGTGAAATCAGGTGATTTTATAAGCCACCTTTCCTCTGGACTTTTCCACCTTACCCCACATTAAAAAAACAACAAACAAACAAAAAGAAAATACTTATTGTCGTACTTGTCTCTCCTGCATTTTGGATAATTTAATGTTTTGCCCTTGTGAACCCAATAGGATAGTGTTTCTCCTTTAATGTGTAGTAGTGCTGCAGAACCCAGATAACTCTCCATTTCAGCATTTATTTCACACCTATTTCCATTAAAGTTAAGAAGACTTCCAATTCATTTTTTTGGTACTGTAGGTTTTAAGTTTATTGCATGTTATCAATAAACCTAATTTTTCTTTATCTTTTTTAGGTCTTCTGCTGAGTCTGTTTCCTACTTCTGTGAGGTCAGTGCTGACATCAGTGAAACCACTAGAGAAATAAGGTACTATTTGATAGTTTATTATGCTCTAAAAGATGGTGTACTTTAAGTTTTCACTATTTTATTTTTCTTAACAAATAAGGCTTAAGCAAGTTATTAATGAGAAAAAGATCCAAGTAAAAAGAGAACGGTCAGAGGATATAATTGTATATTCCAATTTTACCATTGTTAGACTTTATACAAAGGTAATATTTGCCACATTTTCAGCTGTTAAAATATGGTTGCAAAAAATGTTATGCAGAGAAGCACATAATTAACTGTAAAGCCAGATAAGCAATTTGTTTTACAATTTTCATTATGTTCTTATTATTCAGGTACAATAAGAAGTCAAAATGAATTTAAAAGTTTCCATTTAAAAAACACCTCTTGTTCCTTCTCTCCCCTCCCTGCCCCCAGTGGTAACAATTTTCCTTGGGAAAAAAATTAAGTCATATTTTCTAAACAATAAAGTATGAAGTTTTCTCTCATAACCAGCACAGTTTGTTTGAAGTCACATATGGTTGCACTTCACTTGTGTAAATGTGCTTAGCACTTATTCAGCTTTGGAAGTATGGTTCCAGTTTCATACCAATAAAACTGATCATTGCCCACTGGTGATTTTTAAAATGGACACATTTCAGTTCAATTAATTTTGTTCCCTCCTTACTGCAATGTGAATGTCTCCATTTTGCTTTCTTTACTCCTGAAAAGGGCGTTAACGTGCTGCTTTGGCAACTAGTGTTGCTAGCTAAATACAGTATCTGTTTTCGCAGTGAAAGTGCCAAAGATATAAAAAAATCCAATAGCCATGACAGTCTGGATATAGTTAAATACACTGTATACTAGAAAACTTCATCGTGGGGCCAAAAATAAAGTGGTTTTCCAAGGCAGTCAGTGGTAGTCTTACTGCCACCTTCGCTGCAGTGGGGCCAGACGTCTCGTTTTGGAAATGGCAGTGAGCTGGAGATGGCGGCTGGGGGCTGTTGGCTGCAGTACATCTGAGCTGGGGTGCAGGCCTTAGGAGATCATCTCGCACCATGACTGGGCCTTTTAGAAACCTATTTTAAATGTGTTGAGTGCTGTGATGTTACTCCTCTGAGCCCTCTGCTAGCAGGGGTGCTCCCCAGCACCCTCCCTCCTCAGGTAGCTCCGCCACTGACCTTAGTGAGGTTTTTGCCTATCTAAAGGGTGGCTCTGGCTTTTGGATCCTGCATCCAATTCTGAGTGCTCTTTACTGCCTATAGTGAAGAAAGAAGGAGAATTGGAAGTGTACTGGGAGATTTCATGGTCCTAGAGATTTGTTCTGTCTTACAAAAATACTGATTGTGAGTGCTGTTTATCGTGCTCTTTCCAGAACATGCTGAACAGAGTTTATGGCTGAATATCACTATGAATTAAAAAATACATTCAAACACTGCCTTTTTTGTTGTTGCTGTTTGCTTTGGTTTTGGGGGGGCTTGTTGTTGTGGTTTTTTGTTTGGTTGGGTTTTTTTCCCTATTTCCTTCATTCCTCCTTTGATTTTATTCTGTTTGGTTTTTTGGATTATGAATAGTTTTGTTTGTTTTCATTACCAAATTACAGAACAAAACGTTAATTATACAGTTTGTGCAGAAAGCAATTAAGAGACTAAATGTTTTTCTCTTGCTAGCTGGATAGTTATGTCTTGTCTGGCAAAACAGCAGTTGCAATGCATATTTGTGTAGGAGGTTAAATCTGGTGTCAGTGGTTTGCAACTGACAGTTACAATATGTTCCTATGGCAGTTACAGTGCCGTTAAGAAAAAAAAAGATTTTGCTGTAAATCTCTCAGTAGGTTGGGGGTGCATTTTAGGCCTCCTCATATGCAAAATACAAGGCACTATCGTTTTGTGTTAAAGTGGCTGAATGCCCCTCAGGAAAACAGTAACGATTAGTTCCAAAGCCTGTTTATTATAAAGGGATTAAGAATGTTTAACTTACTCCCATATAAACTAGCTCCAGTCAGGAAACCTCAGAGTGGAATAGTACTGACTCAGGAGGCCAAATTACTCCAGCAGCATAAGTCACAGTAAGAGCAGGGGGTTGCTTGAACTTCTGTGATCTTGTTCTAGGGCCTTCACAGTTTCACAGAAGCTTTTTGGTTAAGATTGATCCTGCTTTCTCTGAAGGGAAAAGTAGCTTTTCTCACTCACACATTTGTTCTTGTTTGTATGGAACATTCAGCAAAAATGTTCACAGTTGTAAATGGAGGGTAAAAATGGAGAAGAAAATTTGCACCTCTGAGGGCTTCTCACGTGAAAATAAAACATATTGCTGCTAGTAGACATCTTTATTACAGCAAGTTCTGACCTGAATGAACTGTGCTAGCATTAGAATGCATGAGAGGATCCAATGCTTTTCCAAATTGGGAACTGTAATTCTATCTTTTTTTATAGGCCCTTTTTATATGGAAATCTCTCCCCCGTTTGAACAGTTGCTGAAGCTGAGCATTCTTCCAGAGTTCCCAGGTAGTAGCGAAGTAGCTGTTGTGGGGCTGGGCCCACAACAGTGAGCATGCTGTGTGTACTTAACTTTGTCTTGGCTTCTAGTAGGGCAAATGCATCCCTAAACTTCCTGGAGAAAGCATAGGGAAAATTAAGAGGCTGAACAAAATTTGTAGGAACTAAATGAACAGCTGTATAAACTGGCAGGAAAGCTGAAGAAGGTGTTCACCCTTTATCTTTCTTCTTTTTGGAGCTTTGCTACCTACTTCTAGGCAGCAGAGACACCTATATCAGATGAGGCCCATCACATGAAACTGATACATAAATTTTCCTCTTCTTTGAGGTCCATTTTATTTTTGTTGTAGTTAAAAGATCTTGCTCAGAATCTTGAGAGAGCATGGTCCAGATGAAATTTTTAAGCACAATATTACCATGAGCCAAATTGTCCAGTGTCTAGGAATAATTGTAATTACTACTGCTGCTTAGGACTGGGAGAGAAAGCTGGAGATAGGGTAGAAGGAACACATACAGGGCATAGAGAGTGAGTCCTCTCATAGTGAATTGAAATTTCTACCCTGAAACCCCATACTAAACTGTTTTTCATGCTAAATCAATCCATAGCGTACAGGGCTTGATCAAGACTTTCAGCTTCTTGTCACATCTAGACTGAACTCCCCCAAATTAATTTGTCATTTAAAGTGAGAACAGGAACAGTTTTTCAAGGAACTAGAAAACAAACCAAGTCATAACATTGTTCGTATCATGTCCAGGTGAGAAAAGGAATTAAGTAAAAGGAATACATTTTGCTCTTAATGGAAAATCTTTATATTTGTCATGTCAATGTGATTTTTTAGATACATAGACATTCCAAATTTCAGTGGTTTAATATATATGAGTATTATTTAAGATAGTGTAAATCATTGTTGTTTGAATAGAGCTGGGTTTTTTTCTGGTTTGACAGTAATTTAGGAACAGTAGGGATGTTTGCCTTCAACTCACTCTGTAAAGCAGTATTGGTCTCAACAAGTCTCTCAAGCAGTGTCTGTTGATTCATGATTTCAGACAAATACTGGAAGCGACACCACAAACATATATACTAAGTGCGTAGTAATTTTGCTGGAAATTGCAGAATAGGCAAGGTAAAATAGAAAGCAAAATAAGAAATAAAACATGCAAGTCCCCAAATCTGAAGCCAGGATTTCAGAAAAGGGTAAGCATGTACTGTTCACATGATAATGTGATGTTTCCAACCATGTGAGTGGTTAGCATCTACAGTTATGTGAGGAATAGATGATGCTGTAGAGCTTTTATTTGTGATTCTGATTTTTACTCCATTGTATCTTTATGCTGTTTTCTAGGGATCACAGACAAAATGAAAATAAAGATGAGGTTTCCTCAGGAAGTGGCTTTTTATTTCTCTTAATGGAGCTTTACACACACCCACCCCCCAACTCCATTTTTATACCGTATACAATGAAGCTTTGCTATGTGTGATTGAGGGGGAAAAAGATTAGTGGGTCAGAAATAGTGGAAACAGAGTGTTCTGGTTGGAGGCTTTATTGTCCTTTTAAAAGGAATGTGAGAAGGGAAATCCTAACCTCATTGAGATAAATGACTAAATTACTACTGACTTCATTAGGATAAGGATAGAACCTTGTGGTTGGGAGAAAAGAGGTGGGGGGAGGGGGAGACAAGAGTGTCCAAGATCTTATGTGTCCAGAGAGAAGGTATGTCTATAAGAAAGAGAAATGGCCTTCACAGGGCCAGTGCTTATTTCTAATGAGATAAGTAAGTAGGAAACATTTGAGTCACCACATGTTTTCTATGCTTTTCAGATTGAAAATCTGTAGTCAGAACATATTACTGTTCTCTCCTTAAGTGAATAGTGCTTAAAAAAATAGTAAGGAACCAATCAACTGATAAAACAAGCAAGAAAGACTGAGCTTTTTAGTTCAATTTTTGCTTTTTTAACCCTCATCCAGAAGACATGCAATGGTAAAGCTAGTCATGGCAAGTATAACTGTAAGATGTATTTTCTTCAGCCTTTCGCTTGAATTGATCTTCCTCAGGAAAACCAAAATAAGGTTTATTTACCAAGATTGATAAAGACATGAAGCAAATGAAATTTAGTATATTCAGTCTTTAACTTTTTATCAACACTTTCAGGAATCAGATCTTCCTGGATGAGTGACAGGCCAGCTCACTTAGAATAACCTGGTAGCAAGATGGGATTTCTGTTTTTACAAAAATTGTGGAGATTCCCTATTAAAAATGTTCCAAAATATCAAAAAGTAAATGTATACGATCCAGAGAGGTCCTCACCTTACATTCTCAGGATTGCCAGATACAGATTATGAAGGTGTGCTGATTTAGGGGTGTTCTCTCTTGTCAGTATGCCACTTGTTACCATTAATTTTAGAAATTGATGGTCTTATAATAGAAAGTCCTTTCAGAAGGATATTCAGAACAGTTACTGAAACTCAGTTTTATTCCTTTCACCTTTTATCAAATGGGAAAAATCCATTTTAATAAGTGTGTAGACTAAGAGTTTCTTCTGATTAG